AATCAAATGAAGTGAGTAACATAGCTTTACGAAGTTCACTCTATCCTAGACTACAAGGATGTCATCTTATCAGCCAAGCCGGCTGACAAAGAAGGTGGACAAGATCACCGATAGAAGGTATAATTTCATTGCTGTTCTTCCCCCTTGGTAGTTTAATAGATGCACGAAACCGGGTTCGTTTCTGTCTCAACTTATGAACCAAACAACCGTTTTCAGTCAAATTCAGATGTTCAGAGCGTCTGAAAAGGACTGGAATGATCATATACTCGGGTGCATGAAGTGTCAGTAGCCAAATCTTTCCAAAAAAGAAATCATGTTTTCGCAGCGGCTACTGGCACAGAGTAAGTTAGCCGCAGGCGTTTGCACTATAAAAGGAACGGCTTCTTCGATTGGCGGCTCGGAGAAGCCTTTCAGCCGTTCAAAATCTCACCCCGTGCCCTTGTGGGCAGCGTTAGGGAAGTGTTTCTTCTTGAGCTGCCCACTTGATAGTATCCGAACAAAATTTTCTATAAAACAAAAAAGGGGGGTGGTCAGTTGAAGGAAATAATAGAAATGCATCTATGATGTTAGATTATTGAAGTAAATAATTTTCCACATAACCGGTTTCGGGGCTAAGAACTAGACCGGGTATGTGACTTCCTCGGTGCCCCATCTTCAGTAGTTCCCGAAAAAGTGTAAAAGTGCTAATGATGCTAAATTTCTGGTGAGGTACTGGAGCCCTACAGATCATAATTGTAAGAATGAAGTCCAAGCATGATGAAAGAGAGGAAGTCCAATGAGTGAGAATGAGATGTATAATGTATCGTTTGACAGAACGTGCACTCTCCCGCTCGAATTCAAAAAACTAAAGGAGAGGTTGGCCAAATTCATCCATGTGTCATGGTATCTGTTCAATTAATCTCTCAGAAAAGACCGTGCAAGATCTAAAATATCAAACAGAAGGTGCTTTCCAAAGTTTCCGTATGTCATGTACCAATGGAAGATGTAAAGCTACGTAAAAGCCATACTTACGTAAGATAAAAGGGTTTTCCTTAAATGTCAAACATAAAACTCGAAGTAGTATGCTTTCTTCCCATCCGTTGTCTTTACTAATTTTACAGAGTTGGATAATTCTAGTTTTAAAAGCAGTGTACTCTGTACAATTCCTATAAATTCTCAGTATTTCTGATTTGAAAGTGTTGAAAATAATGTATCTAGGTACGTTTGAAGCCCACTTTGGATACCTCAAGACATCAAAATCATATGCATCTGTTTTATTATATAGACTAAGCTTTACTGAATTATCTACTATATGAACACTGAGATCCAAAAAATTAGTTTCGGTATCGCTAGCATTAGTCTTCTCTATCACTAATTCCTTATGGTAAATCTCTTTTAGAGCCTCCTCAGACTCTTTGATTTCTTTCGAGATATGTAGGATATCACCAATGTATCTGTATGGTTGTTGAAAGCGTATTTGTTCGTAATGTTCTACTTATGGCTCGCCTCCTCATATATTCAAATTCCATGTAGGCTAAAGTCAAATCTGCCATTTGAGGGCTGCACGATGCCCCTTGGTATGCCTCTCTCCTGTTTATAAATTATACCTGCGAAGCTCAAGTAACTGTTATCGAGAAGCATATCTATCATGTATAATAAATCTTCTTTCTGAAAGTATTTTCCTTTGGCTGTAGTCGTGTTCGTGTATGTCGCTGTATAATTTTGTACTCTTATATATCCTCTCATACATAGTTCTATAAGCTTCGTCAAATTCTTTCTTACCACTTTATGTGGTAGGCTTGTAAAGAGGCTGGAAAAATCTGCTGAGAAGATTCTCCTTTCTCCACCCATGCCGTTAATTTCTTTTATAATGTTTGTGTTGTTACTTATTGCCCAAAAATGTTTGATTTTGCTTCTATGGAAAATCACATTGCAATAATTCATGAAATGCTTTCTTATATGACTCAAGATAATTGTCAAAAGCTTAGTCAATAGCTTTAAGGTACTTTTTTTGGCTCCTGTTATATATCTGAATTTGACAGGTGTCGTATGCATTTTAGGAATTCCATAGATTCTCGGTATTTCATTGAATGCGGGAAAATCTTCAATGTTTAATCCATTCAAGATACTTCGATGTATCATTCTGACTTGTTCCATTTGCAGCGTTGTATTTACATAAGTTTTGGCGTTGTTATCCTGTTGTTGTAGTTCTTTCTGTATCATCATCAAATATAATTTTTTACAAGTGAAAGCAAAATTAGAGCTTGCTTTATCTATTGGTGTAACTACGTAATGTTTATGCAATTCATTTAAATCTTCTTGTTTATATTGGTCTTCTATCATTTCTCTCTGCTCCATAATGCTATATAGTTTAGGTGTCGTCTTACTAATAATATGTTCATTGAAACGTCTTTTCAAGATTATTTCTACACTATTATCTGCCTTAAACACACTTCGAAATATGTGTGCCATATTGCTAGCTAGCTCCTCTAACAATATAAGTATGTCTTGTTTGCATATGAAAGAATGCGTTCTATATTTATACCCTTTACTAAATAGCTTTCTAAGTTCTTCATTTTTGATGAAGTTTATATCTCCCGTACATATGTGTCCTAAATCCCTGTTAATGTATTCTATGTGCTTATTACACTCACATTCCTTGTGTAATATATCATCACATTATTGATATTAATATTCTTAAGGAATCTATTGTAATTACACAAGTAAATCCCTACAGGATGTTTCAGCTTATATCTAATTGCTACTCTTAGCCCTTGTAGTTCTTCTTTCCTTTCCGGAACGCATATGAAATAAAATGAAGTGAGTAACGAAAGCTTTACGAAGTTCACTCTATCCTAGACTACAAGGATGTCATCTTATCAGCCAAGCCGGCTGACAAAGAAGGTGGACAAAATCACCGATAGAAGGTATAATTTTACATTGCTGTTCTTCCCCCTTGGTAGTTTAATAGATGCACGAAACCGGGTTCGTTTCTGTCTCAACTTATGAACCAAACAACCGTTTTCAGTCAAATTCAGATGTTCAGAGCGTCTGAAAAGGACTGGAATGATCACATACTCGGGTGCATGAGGTGTCAGTAGCAAAATCTTTCCAAAAAAGAAATCATGTTTTCGCAGCGGCTACTGGCACAAAGTAAGTTAGCCGCAGGCGTTTGCACTATAAAAGGAACGGCTTCTTCGATTGGCGGCTCGGAGAAGCCTTTCAGCCGTTCAAAATCTCACCCCATGCCCTTGTGGGCAGCGTTAGGGAAGTGTTTCCTCTTGAGCGCCCACTTGATAGTATCCGAACAAAATTTTCTATTTCTATGGACAATACTGAAAAATTTTCTATGTTTTTGTTGCCTTTGATTTTTTTTTGAGTGTTGTTACGACGAATCTTCAAAACTTCAGAATACATTCTGTCACATTAGCAATTTTGACTTGCATTTGAAATGGTTGTTCGCATTTTTTTCGATAGTGATATAATCCTTCAAATATTGATCCCATCGCCACTCAGCAAAACTTTTACCTATATCCCGATTCGACTTCTGAACTATGCCGTTCCTACCATACTATTTTATCCTCATTCCAAGCATTGCCATGCTCGTCCCTCCAGCTCGGATAGAGCCCATCCATCCATGATGTATCAATATCATCATTTTCGAATCCATCCGCCTCTTCAAACAACTGTGGAAGCCTTATCCGCACACAATTTTGATCATTAACCAAATTCCAAATTTATTTTGCTCCGCTTGATTCTCAGCTCGAGACGAGCTCTTTCTTTTGACAGGGCGTGCGAAAGCGTGCGTTTCTTATGAGCCCTTTTCCCCTTGTCCACTTATGAAGAGCAGTCATGCAACTAAGCGAAGCGATCAACAACAGCATGCCCTCAAAAGCGACGATCAAACGGTACATGGGCAGTTTTGATGACGATAATGGTATCAACAACACCCTCTTGCCCTCAAACGAAGCAATGATGAAACAAATGGTAATGGGCAGTTCGATGACGGCAATGGTTTCCTACTCCCAAGCCATGGTCAAAGACGAAAGCTCGGGACGAGCTTTACTATGGAACTAGATGACAAACCCGGCTCCGCCCGGGACCAAACTTTGCACACATACACTTCGGGGCAGGGAGCGTGTCATAGTCTACTTTTCGTTATCGACCCCCTAGCTCAAATTTTGCAAAAAATCGGTAAAATCGACATCGATCGATAACGAAAAGTAGCCTATGACACGCTCCCTGCCCCGAAGTATATGTGTGCCAAGTTTGGTCCAAATCGGTTCAGAAATAAAAATTTCTATTCCGCACATACGTACAGACAGACATACAGACATACAGACATTCAGCTTTATATATAAGATGGACATGTCGAGACGCAGACTAATTAGATGGTCCGACAGTCCCCACGCCAACTGGGCGGTGCCGAGCAACTCCAGATGAGCTGTGCCTAACCGGGTGACCGGCAGTGTCCCTTCCCCTCTTTTTACCTTCTAAATATATAATAAAGATTCTAGTCATAATGTTATGTTCATAAAAGTAAGACAATCAGGGTGAAGGATTCAGGTCAGGAGAGTGCACCTCCTGGACTTGACAATGGGGACGGATTTGCCTTCAAAGATTTATAAGACCCAGTATGACCCTACATCAGCTAGAATATACATGTGGGCGGCTGACATTAAAACACGTAAAGCTGTTTATTAATGACCATGGATAGAAACGAGATAGAAGAAATGGGTGACGTATAAAAATCTAATCATTAAAGGCAGCTCCAGGAAGATCCGGACCTATGAGGATTTTACGTGGAAAGTAATTTGGGGCCCTAGCTAAGGCACTGCCCAAGCGGCAGAGCAGCTGAATCACTAACAGCTGAGATATGCGCCTCTAAAGTGGACCCCAGGATCGTGTTTGCATCATGGCAGTTTCGCGCGAGGACCCACGCTTTGCGCCATAATCATGCGAAATACAATCCCGGGGTCCCGTTTCGAGGGGAATATCTCAGCCGTTAAAGCACTACCTGAGCTGCGGGTTGGAAATGGCTTAGTAAAGGTCCCTAAATTACTATCCACGTGAGATCTCCATGTGTCCAGACTTGCCTGGACGCTGCCTTTAACTACCAACTATACAAGATGAGAGCCTTACAACGCAATGGTGGGCAGTAAATAAATCCGCAGATCAAGTTCATCATTGCTATAAAGAGGAGATCACAGTTAGTTGGCAACCTAAAATGCATACAAAGATCTGACGGAGCAGGAGAATAGTACAGCAGGCAATGCGAATGAAGTCTATTCAGTCAAAATCAGAATCGCTGTCTGTAGCCGCTTCCAGTCTCAAGAGGCTTTTGCAATTGAGATAAAGTTCTGGCCTACAAAGTACACTCAACGTGCTCAGGTCGAAATTCGATTCTTGCGAGATCATAGTTATACTGAGAAGCGACTCTAAAGCTGATTCCCTCATATAGCTGTGCACCTAAACTTTGGAATATTGGAAAGGAAATACCGCTACAACAGCTTCTGCTGTAGACAGCAAACCCACATTCCAATCCGCAGCAACACTATTAACTTGACATTCTTTGTTGTCTGTAAGTACTGTCTCGGCTTTGTTCATAAATAAAGCATCGGAGCAGATTGGTGTTGTGGCAGGATCTAGAAAAATAATGGTAGTAACTAACATTTCCAACAAGTGAAACCCATTTTATCAGAGTGAATTACGGATCTGGAACAGCAGAGCTTACCAGGTGTATCTATCAACAATTGACCAGGGACATGGGGAAATGCTTGCGTGCCGTTCTCAGGACCACCTCGATTCGACAAAGACTCGGTAAAAACAGAGGCGCCAGACCCAAAACCAAATCCAGTTTTCCACTTGATATCGTGTCGGAGGATGTTGACCTTGTCAAAATAACTTTGGGGGTCGCCAAGCTGTCTTCAAAATGTAAAAAATACATACCTTCTTGGTGTGCAATAGAGGACCACGTGGTAATGTTGTGTTCGCATCTGTCATTTCTATATCAGCATTAGCTAGCGAAGCATTATGAAGATTAAAGCTGGTTTGGAGGTTTTCTTGACGCTGAAAAAAGGTGCATGAGGGATGCAAAACATGCTGTCGTAGACCGGAATGACATAATTCTGGTAATGTAGATTGAGATAAGCCTAATTAACTAGGTCCACACTTCACCTTTGTTTCTACCTCCCTAAAATCCTTCAAAGTTGATGGGTTGAAGAGATGAAAAAGCCCCTTCAGTTGAAACAGCACAGTACGGAAACTACAACAACTTACTAAAGACATGATTTGAGCTTCCAACTGACGTATCCGCTCTTCTTGTCTGCTCAGTTCCGATTTATGCTCTTTTTCTTTGGCAATGATCTAGAATGACTGAGTAACTGCTTTGTGAGGTTGCCACGTCATTACCTGATCGCGGATAGCGGCTGCCGAGCGTTCCTTTTCCCTTTCCAGATTTTCAACCCGATTTTTTAGCATCAGCACTTGACCATTATGATGGTAATCACTTCGATCCTGACTCAAAGAATGTCTTCTACGTCGAAATACTGTTGCAAAACACAAGAGAAGTGGAAAACTGAGTTGTTTGAGGGGTTCACAACGCTTACTTGGGCATTAAAACGTCGAGGAGTGAGAGCACTGGTCCTCAATAGGGATTTCCTCGTCGTTGTTTCATCGTCTCTTTGGGGACGAAGTGGAGAAGTGCATATCGAAGACTGAGCTATAGAATACCCCATCTGTCGACCATTATCAACACAAACAGCTTCTCTCCGTTGTAAAATAGCCTCTGTAATCAAAATTTATTTCCAAAGGTTTTAAGCTGAAAAGATAACGTACGTGTAATCTGACTTGGCTCCGCGAGAACAGGATCGTTGAAGGAATCGTCCGAATCAGCATCATCACCGTTGTCACCCTGCTGATCAGTACGAGATCGCTTTTTGGGAGGAGGTGAGCTGTTGTACCCGAACGACATTGCTTAAACAACAAAACCTCACATTCAGTTGAAACTAGACATCCAGAGGTAAATGACCATACAATTTTGACGTAAGGATAACTAGTTAAATAAAATTTATTATGCTAAAAGTAAGCACCATCAGACTTCCCCTGCAAACACTAATAAGTAACAAGTTCATAAGATCACTGAGTCAAATATCACAGTAACTAGAAGTAATAATCTCTTTCCTAACAATAAAACTCTGACCGAATCTATGATATGTCTTCAAAATGGAGATGAATCAAATGAAGAAAGACTTGGTATAGGCAATAAACAACTATATGTATTTGAGAAGAACATGACAGCACGACAAAGAAATAGGTGTGCTTACAAAGGCTGTGCGACAATTCTTCAAGGTTCCTCAGATAATCGTCTATGCTCGTTGATTTGATCTCGGAAGAATTCTATCGTCTTTTTCAACCCGTCCCGCATCGACACCTATAAGAATCTGCCAGATAAATTCCTTTACGAAGCGTGACTAACACACAAAATCTGAAAGCAAACAAGGCATTGGGGTATGTTTAGAATACATACCTGAGGCTTCCACTTCAGTTCTTTGGCCGCTCGCGATATATCCGGCTTCCGTTGCTGTGGATCATCTTCTTGCGAAGGTAGATGGATTATCTCACTGGAGCTACCTGAATATCAAGAACTCATGTGAGAACCAAATGAAGGACTATCGCATACCAACTAAATCTCTAATGATGTGAGCAAAATCTGCTATAGAATGCTCCTCCGGATTTCCCAGATTGACAGGCGATGAGCAATTGCTATTCATCAATGCTATCAGTCCATCAACTAAGTCGTCCACATATTGAAAAGACCGCGTCTGAGACCCGTCGCCATAAATCTGGAAATAAAATTCTGCATATCCTCAAAAAACACTTATCTGTCAAGACTTTTAGCCTACCTAGCATGCTGCACTATAATCTTTCACAAATAAGCTTATAAATTAATCAAACCAGAAGCATTCGGCTGTTTGCCAATTCTATTTGGTCCAAAAAACATGTTTTGCACATATGTGTATTCCAGTATCCTTCCCACAGCTATCACCGCTGGGAGGGCGGTCCCCGCGGTCATCTGCGACAAATACGCACCCTTGTACATGCGCGGACATGCGTTCCTGCAGGAAATCCGCGCGGGACTCTACCACTCTCGGCGACATATAGTCCTCCACCCCATATAGTCCTCTACCCACCACTATAGTTAGCACCGAATAATTTTCGAATATTCGTATTCGAATGGTTTACTCGAACTGGAGAAGTAGAATATTCAGGAAAACGCACTTATTCTATTACTCGAATAGGCGAGTAAATGAAAAACACTTTTATTCGAATATTTGTTTATTCGAGAATCGGATAAACAACTTATTCGAAATTTTATTCGAAAATTCGAATATTCGAATAATTTTCGAATAAATTGTTTATCCGATTCGTCGAATAAACAAATATTCGAATAAAAGTGCTTTTCATTTACTCGCCTACCTGAGGGCTTCCGTAATAGCGCCTCAAAAGCAGCAAGCTGCCCTGCGGCGATGGATCCCATGAGAAAATCTCAGGACACGACTATAGATGTACATACAAAGAAAAGTAGGGACTTGGTTAATGAGTACTTCTGCTACTGGGTATATGTGCTGATATCGAAAATGTAGAAGGAGAAAGACTCAAAGATGACTGTTTAACCATTACCTTACCGTGATCGGTTTTCCTTGCAATGCTTGGATGATAAAATTGGACACAACTCTCCCGTCATTCATGTGCATCCTTGGACCGAATGTGTTGAAAATCCGTGCAATTCTTATAGACACTCGCTCCTAAAAACAACGAGGCGAATCTATATGCACGAAAAGAAAACACGCACTTGTTTATTGTAGGCAACCATCAATGACTCGGCCACGCGTTTTCCCTCGTCATAACAACTGCGTGGTCCAATAGTGTTTACATGCCCCCAGTACGATTCCGGCTGAGGATGGACTTCAGGATCCCCATAAATCTCGGAGGTAGAAGCCAAAAGTACAGTTGCTTTGACTCGCCTCAAAACATCGCATTTGTACTGAGATTTTCGAAAAAGTCGAACTACTCAAACAGTCGAAGGATACCTCCGGCGGGCAAATGGCGCGAGTCTGCCACTTCGCGGCTCGAAGCTCTGCGGAGCTTTGCCATTTCACCCATTTTGGTGCTCCGGGGCTCTCCCAAATCTGGCGCACCTCCGGAGCAGAGATTTGCGCTTCCCGTAGAGGGGACCATTCGTTCACCGTGAAGTCACCGTGACGTCACAAGCAGGCGAATGGGAGACCCCTCTCCGGGACGCGCAAATCTCTGCTCCGGCGGTGCGCCACATTTGGGACAGCCCCGGAGTACCAAAATGGGTGGAATGGCAGGGCTCCGGAGCGCTCCAAGCTGCGAAGTGGCAGACTCGCGCCAGCTCGCCGGAGGTATCCCTTCGACTGTCTGAGTACGGACTTAGCTAGGCCGAGCATGTTGATGGTGCCTATGGTATTTGTCTTGATAGTCTTCACTGGATTGTACATGTAATGAGGAGGAGAGGCTGGAGAAGCCAAGTGGTAAATTTGATCCACTGCAACAAAAATTTCAGACAAGCCAACAACATAGGAAGAGATAACCTTCAATGAAATAAGGGTTGACGACATCGTGGTGAACAATTTCAAAATTAGGGTGTCCAATCCACTGCTCCACATTTCTTTTGCGCCCAGTAAAATAGTTATCCAGCGCAATTACCTAAAGCCTATCAATTAGGTACAGCACAGTCAAAGCATTTCAAAAGACAGTAAAAGGTAACTTGGGCTAACTTCATGGCCATCCATCATTAGTTTGTCCACCAGATGTGAACCAACGAATCCTGCACCTCCGGTAACCAGAATTCGCTTTCGAGTTTCCTCGTTTCGAAAACGTACATCTGGAAACGTTTTGCTGAAAGAAACTTCATACAGAGCTGTATAAGAAAAATTTCATAATCAAAACTTTTATTTCACAAATACCTGTTGGTAGGAGGTGCTTTCCTAGCCAACATTAATCGCAGTGAGGAGAGTTCCCTTTCTAGTGCTTCGAGCCTTGCCAGTATGGCATTGCTGTAATACAAGAAAACATCATTTTTAGTTTCGCATGATTATGACGGATTCCACTACCCTCGAACAAGGTGATGGTTCTTTAGACCACAGTGCGATACTAAACATAATCACTAGACAACTCCATGCTTTTAAAGAGTTTTTAAGAGCCAAATTATGAAACAGCAGCTAAAACACAAAGCCTGTAACATGATTTCTGTGCCACTTCAGGGTTCTGGAGTCTGAAAGTACCTAAAAACGAGGGCAGCTAGGAAACTGATGAAAATCAGGTGGCAGGAGCGCTTGCCGTGATAGCCGCGTAGTCTGAAGGAGCCCCTTTCCACAAGAAGACAGCGTGCACTCTTACCACCCCCCATAAACTTTTGCAGTAACCTCCACCACTGCCTCCGCGTAGAAGAGAATCTTTACATTTGCTGCCAGAACAAACATATACAAGAAATGTGAGAAAATGCATGTGAATGTGAGAAATGTGGGAATGAACGAAAATGGAGAAAAGATGGATCCTTTAACAATTGCCGAATACGTAGCTTAATGCCGCTAGCGTTTAAACAATGGCGATGTGGCGCATCGCCCAAATATTGCCACCACCGCAAAAAACCAGTGACCAATATATAGCATTGAGTCTATCAGAGTGTACCATTGTCTCAATGGCAGTGACGTCGTCGCCGGCGGCTTGGATTACGCGCAACCCCTCGCTTGGGCTACGCACCGCATTCGCGAACGTGACTGATCATTATCCCAAGTCTGCATGTGGAAAAAGCTCAGAGGTAGGCTCCCCGATCATGCGACAATGTAGAAAACACACTCTCGAACTCGATGCAAGGCCAAGCGAGGAGCTGCGAAATTTGCGCCCCCGAGACGGCGTTGCTGCTTGGGATAGGCTCTGGCTAGATTTTGCTCAAAACCGCTCAAAAACGCCCACATTTACCTGATGTCTCTCCACTTTCTCGTGTGAGGTGAGATGAGAGAGATAAGAGAAATAATTTGGGCACTTTTGAGCGCTTTGGGCGTTTTTGAGAGAAGCCTGGCCGGAGCCATAGAGCGAAGATGCTAGCCTAGACTAAGTTTGCAGCGAAGATCAATTACATCATTGTCATCATAAAAAAACAAAGCAGAAATAAGATTCAAAATTACCTCGCATTTTTTTCATCCAAAGCTATGGAATTTTCTGACTTTCGGGTGAAGCCAGTCTCTGGATCTGTGGAAGTGGGAGAAGGAAATGCCGCGATATTATATAAAGAAATGAGAACTGGAAAACAAATTTCAATTTTCAACGGCAAACACTTCTATTACAGAAAGTGCTCACATACGCAAGCGATTACGGCGAACGTCATCATTACCACAAGTCGAGTCGGGCGAATAGGCGCCCTGACGATTTGTGCCATTCGCAGACAATATCAGGGAGTGAAAACGCTTGCTAGAAATACGATCCCTGCAAATACGATATAATTTGGAGCTGAAACCAGCTGAATACACGCTTAGCCGAAAATGCGGTTTATAGGAACAAAGCACATTTATGCGACCGGTTTGCGAAAACTAGAGAGCGTACCATGCTAGATTACAGCATATATGACATAACACATAAAAAAGCGTTGATTTCTTTGCACTAATACAAGATCGCACATCACTTTGCTGGAGAAAACATTTCAAAACTACTCTACCACCCAAACCGATATTAATAAGAAGAGAAAACAAAACATTTGAAAATAAATAGATTTTACTCAGGAGATTGACTGACCCATGTACATAAACATAAATCGACAGAGAGTTCCAATTGCTTCAAAGCATGTCGCATAGGACTTCTCAACGCGATCTTTAGAACTTCTGAAAGCGTCGAGACGGGATGTACATATTTAGCCTCTCCCTCTGCACAGTTCATGCGATGTGAAGTGAAACAGCAATCTTGCGTACACACAAAGCACAAAAGCCAAAACGTCCCCAAATCGAATTCAGACGTCAAGACTGCATTGTCTGTAATTAACCGATGAATGCAAGCGATTTGACGCTAACCTCTGACTTGGTGATCATTACGGTTGAGCGTGGGGTCAGAGGCGCGCCCGACCTGGGGGTCATATTGAGGGTAAGAAGCAGGGGGGAGGGGGAGTAGGGTCTTAGTCAAGAAGCGAATGTCTTCAGAAAATTAAGGAATTACGGTGAAAAAGAAAAGCGCTCAACCCTGAATTTCACAACTCTACCACTCAGACAATTATTGCGACCACCCGCGGAATGGCCCCCGTCGACGTTTTATCCATGCCGCTGATGGTAGAATAAACGCACGCTAACCGGCCGAGAGTTACCCGCGGATGCGCCGGTAAGCGCTCGAACGACGCCCGCGTATGTCCAGACAAGCACCCGACAGATGCGCGATATGCATCCGCGGGTGGCCCGATAAGAGGTTGCTAAACGCAGTAACGTACATTTATTCCATTTTTTAAACACCTGTTTCCATTTTCCTTGCCCTCGCACATGGGTCTGAATATGCGCCAAAATTTGTCTTCCGTCGTAGTGCCTCAGGGCCCAAGTTCCACTTTCAAGTAAACCTAGGAGAGAACCCTCGGCAAACCGTCTTTACTACTAGCCACACACCGATGAGCGATAAGCAACGACCTAAACGTTGAGGGTACCTCTATCTGCGCGGCGTATCTCACGCGAGTAACGTTTTTGCTTACAGCGTGTAAGAATTGCGGCGTCCGGTAAGGCTCGCGGCTCGCCAGACTGATTCTGTTGAGCCGTTGCCTAGAAGGGCCGGGGCCTGCCCGAAAATGACGTACACGGCGCCCATTAAGGCCCGCGGCATAACCGAGATACGATATGGGCGGTGTCCGACAAGAGCCGAGGCTTGCCCGGTGCAGAAACTATATTAAGGCCCGCGGCTTGTCCGAAAACCAAATATGCAGTGCTTTCAGTAAGGTCCGTGGCCCGCCCGAGGGTTTTTTCCCGAGCCACGGGTGTCCCGGTAGAAAAATTAAAACCCGCGGCCTTTAACTAGCGAAAACATTGAGCCGCGGGTCGCCAAGCAAATGAATCAAGGGCCGCGGATGATCAGTATAAAAATTCAACGCCCGCGCGCCAGCAAAAGGCACTATTAAGAGCCGCGGATGCTCGTAATAATTGTCTGAGAAGAGGAATGACTGTCGTGAACAGGATGCTGATTAAACGGTCTCAGCCAAATTTCAGTTCTTCTACTTTACACACACCGAGGTCATCAAAGGAGCTCTTTATGTCGATGGGTATGATTTCCGTAATTAGCATGCCAAATTACCTCAGCAAAGCTCTACAAGTCATTACCTATAACATTTTCGGCGCTATTCGACATTAGTTGACCCAAAAAATGGCGAATCTGGCTAAAACTTCATTTGCGGGGGGGGGGGGGAGTATTTTGCACGCTGATTATGATTATCATATACATGTCTCATTGTTTTGTCATTTGATGGAGTTACGGTAAGGTTACGGTAGGGGGTTAAGATTACGGACTTGCCCCAAACTCCGTCTAAGGGGTTATTTGATACGCTGAACATGAATGACATATTCATTTCTTACGGCAGCGCCGTTTTCTGGGCCACGGTGGGCATACGTTAGGTGGCTAAAAATTCCGAATTAGCTCAAAACTTTGCATGGAGACGTTCACAGCTGCTGATAACGAATATCATGTTCCTTCGCTGTACAACGCCTTATTGAGTATGGAGTTGGTAATCAGCATGCTTAAGAACCCCTTTATGTAGAGCTTTGAGCAAACTCGATATTCTCAACTATCTACCGTATACCCACCCTAGTACGAAAAGAAATGGCGCTATCGTACGAAATGAATATGTCATTCGTAATACAACGTACGGGTTCCTTCATACTACGCCGCAGGAAGCGGCGTGCGCCGCGTCCTGCGGCGTAGTATGAAAGAACTCTACCAAATACTTCCCCCTCCCCCCCCCCCCCCCCTTTCAGACAAAGTCTGGGACAAACTCATGATTTTTACCCCGTACCGTAATTCTACCGCATCTCCGCCAGATGGCGCCATCACCAAGTAAATGCAATATTCGTAATCAGCGTGAAAAATAACCCCCTAGACGAAGTTCTAGCGAAATTCGATAATTTTCAATTTATTGGGTCAACTAATAAGGAATAGTAGCACATTTCCTAGTGTTTGCTAAGATTCAAGAAGAACATGATTAACTTGGTCACAAAAGTGAAAGAAGTCAGCTTTTTTGTGTTCATAACAAAGTAATACTCTTTATCAGTCTACTAGATGGCGTCCCCGGTCCCGCGCGAAAGTTGGGCTACTTGATCCCAACTCAGACATTCGCAGTTAAAGGCAGTGTCCGGGCAAGATGGGGGTTTTGAGATTTCTCTGCCATGTGAGACTGGCCCCCCTGAGACACAACATCGCGCAAGTGCGACGTCATAACGTTCGACCTAAAGCAAGAAAAACAATTGCAAAGTGGGGAAACTTACGCCTCGGGGCGGGGTCCTCCGAGCTGTTTGAATTCCTGCCAGACGGCAGAGTACGTATGCCGCCACAGTTAAAAACCGTGCGCTCTTTGCAACTCTGCGTCTTAGAGCCTGGCGGGGATCCTCAAATTTCGAAATGTAAGGGCTTGGAAAATGCATGTTCTCGCCGTTTTCGTGCTTTCTGATATGGATTTTCGGATTCAGCGTTGCGGATAACCCCAGATAAGTTGATTTTTTAAAAGTCGAGTTTCTGCCCGGACACTGCCTTTAAGTCCAGCCGGAGATCCGCCCACAAAATGAGAATTCGCGAGAAAACCGGGAGTCTTGCGCGACTCCCGGTTTTGTCCCGATTTTCGGGACAATCCCGACAGTTAAAAAGAAGCGGGAAATTATCGGGAGTCGCGATGTCGGTGTACGTGGGTCATTTGAACGTATGATGTGATGAAATTTCTGCACTGCACGACATCCGCATCAGAGTTAGTTTCCTTCATAAAATCTCAGCCTTATATGAGTCATGACTCCCTGCGCGTATCGTCCAGGAATTGTAGTTCGAATTTACGTCATTATTCATTTGCCGTTCTGCTTTTTCTGTGATAAAAAATCGAGAAATCTTTCAGCCTCACTGTGACGAAGACAGCTGAGATCAATTGGCCCCGTCCCGTAGCGATCAATCCAGCTAAAATTAGCCTTGGCGGAGATATAGTGGATGATTGGATCAAGGAAGAGAAACCTATAGACATTTTGTTTCAGAATGCTAACATGATCGAGCTATTCGAGAACTGGACGCGGCCATCAAGGGCACACAAGAATGACCATTTTTTGTTAATGATGGATTTTTATAGATTCTATTTTTTGCATGTAAGTGAGACTAAAATTTCGAGTCTATCCTGATCGAGAGCTGCACACTTAGGCTTGTGAGCCAAAACAAGAAATCCAAAAGTTTGCATGCAGGCAATCCGATAAAAAGGGAAGATTTCCTATTTGTACGACCTGCCCGAAAGTCTGGTTACATTTTTGATAAGTGGGTGATTGATGGTCTTTATCTAAAATACATCTTCCAGATTTCGTTCTCTATGCTGTCGGCCTCTACGCGGAACAACTTCAACTGAGTGCTTCTGAATGCGCGCGGAAAAGAAATAGGTATAGATAAAAGTGTTTCTACCCCTTGATATCTCATTGATCTAGATTTTTGCTGGGCCTAGGGAACGACGACGAGACTAGGACGAAGATGTTTGACAAGTTGTCTGAGGCGAGGATGAAGTTGAATGGATTAGCACGAGTGGCTATAGAAAGAGCTTTGTGGGTTTCTTTCAAAGTAAGTTTCATGAATCTATTAAATTTGCAGTTCAGTGGAGACGTGCGAGCATACCATTTTGGTGCTGATAAGGAGATGCTGTCGCCACCCTCGGTAATATTCATATATGATTTCTCAAATCAGTGTGATTGTTACTCTTTTCCAGAAAAAACGTTTTTGCCCCACTACAATGCAAGAGTCTTTGGCGCACGAGCACGCGAATGAGCCGGAGGAGCAAGACGAAGACATCGAAAGTGTGAAGTCGATTTGAATTATGGATTCAATCTCAAATCTTGATCTCGACATTCCTGTTTTTTTCTGTTAACTTAGTTATAGTGATTTCAATGTTCTTTTTCGGTGACGAATGCTATGAATAGTGTTTCTGAACTCTGTTTCGAGCACAGCACCTTTGTAAGATGTATGTAATACAAATTTTTAAAGGAGAACCTTTTTGAGAAAAGGCCCAGCCGGAAGCTGATCGGATCGGTGCTATATCGCGTCTCCCGCAGGAGACTGCAGCCTATGGGGGGAGTCTCGCCGATGACCGGATCGCGACATTATCGGGACTCCCGCAGGAGCTCCCGGTTTTCTCAGTAGAAAGCATGTCGGGACAAAAGCGCGTGTCGCGCAGGATTAGCCCGAACGAAATCACCGGGAGTCCCGGTTTTCTCGCGAACCATTTTACTTGTGTCCCGCA